GACTGTTCTTCAGAAGCTGGACAAAGCCTCTCAAAATAGATGGGAGGAGTCTTCGTCGAATCAAGAGCTGCCATCTTGGGAGAAACTGTCTGGATTCTTGGAAAAAAGATGTCGCACGCTTGAAAATGTGGATCAAGGACAAGGACAAGATGGTCAGGTTGGCAAGTCCGGAAAAACCGTGAGTACGCATCAAAGAAAGACATTTGTAGCATCGTACGCTCCAGTTTCTTGTGAACTGTGCGAGAGTACTCATCACATGATTGCCAATTGTCAACGGTTTTCAATTCTATCGCCGAATGATCGTCGCCTGGAAGCCAAGAGGCTCTTGCTATGCCTAAATTGCCTACGAAAAGGCCATCAATTGAGAGATTGTAGATCAGGTCCCTGCCGCACTTGCCGATCGAAGCACCACACTCTTTTGCATTTCATTCGTCCAACAGAGGGTGCCCAATCTGTTCCTCCATTTGAAGCCTCACCAGCACAACCAAGTCGTAACGCCATGGTTGCAGTATCGCCCTCCTTGCCTCAAGCCTTTATGTCCCACAGTCCATCTGATGCTGTGCTTTTAGCCACTGCCGTCGTTCTCGTAAAAAACAGCGTTGGAACTTTCGTACCCTGTCGCGCATTTTTGGATTCGGGATCGCAATTGCATTTCATAACTAGTCGTCTAGCTAATCAGCTAAAACTTTGAACAACCAAATCGCTTACCGCTGTCTCTGGCATAGGAGATGCTAGCTTTCCAACAGAAGGTATCTCGGTGGATCTCGTTCTGAAATCGCGGATTTCAGAGTTCACCACTAGCATCACTGCCGTCGTTGCCCAGAAGATCACGGACCATCAACCTAGCATCACAGTTAGCACTGCTAGTTGGCCTATACCGTCGAATATCCAGCTTGCTGACCCTTCGTTCCATAAGCCACAGCGGATTGACCTGCTCATCGGAGCCGGACTTTTCTTCGAGTTGCTGTGTGTGGGGCAAATTCAGCTGGCGCCTGGACTACCGTTGCTGCAGAAGACACATCTAGGATGGATTCTTTCTGGTGGCGGGCACTCGGCCCTCAATAACTCGTCGTTCATCGCAACCCAATCTTCGGATGACATCAATCACAGCACTTGGCTCGATGAGTTGGTTCGTCAATTTTGGGAAGTGGAGCACATCTTTGAGCCAATCGTTAGGGCAACAAAGGAGGAGCTGCACTGCTAGGACCACTTTGTCAAACATCACACTCGATTACCCTCCGGAGAATATTCTGTTAGCTTGCCCATGAAGCGAAGTCTGGAGTCCTTGGGCGATTCCTACTTGCAAGCAAAGCGGCGGTTGGAAAATTTGGAGCGCAAGTTCTTGCGTAATCCAGTTTTATATTCGAAATATTCGGCATTTATGAAGGAGTACCTGTCCCTTGATCATATGTCTCTGGTTCCAAATGAAGATAGACACAAGTGCAGATATTTCTTGCCGCATCATTGCGTCATTAAAGAGGATAGCTCCACGACAAAGCTGAGAGTCATATTCGACGGCTCTGCAGTTACCACATCTGGTCTCTCGTTGAATGATCTGCTTATGTCAGGTCCCACCATTCAATCCAAGCTGTTTCACACTCTCCTTCGATTTCGTACATTTTCCATTGCTCTTACAGGCGATATCGGTAAGATGTATAGGTGCGTGCGTGTCTCAATGCCCGACACCATGCTCCAATGCATCTTGTGGAGGGACTCTGTTGACGACGATATAAAGATCTTCAAGCTAAACACCGTCACCTATGGGACTAAGCCTGCATCGTTTTTAGCTATTCGAGCTATGCATCAGCTGGCCATGGATGAGTCGTCTTCGTATCCATTGGGTTCGGAAACCATTCTACAGGACTTCTACGTAGACTATATGATTTCTGGAGGAAATTCAGTCGAGGAAGTGCTGGATATTATGCGTCAAACCACGGAGCTTCTTGCTTGTGGCAATTTTCAGTTAAGGAAATGGTGTTCAAACTCTCCTGATGTTCTTCGTGAAGTCCCTGAGGCAAAAAGGGAAAGTTTTCTGAAGCTCGATGATGGCAGCGATGTGACCAAGGCGCTTGGACTCATCTGGGAACCCCAGAGGGACAAGTTCCTGTTTACTTTTGCACCTCAAATCGGTGTTGGCAAGCACACTAAGCGTTCGGTGTTGTCAACCATTGCACGGTGCTATGATCCTATGGGATTGATTGGACCCACATTGACCAGAGCGAAAATCATCATGCAGCGCATGTGGAGAGACAAGCTGCATTGGGATGAAAGTCTTCCTCAGCCACTGGAATCGGCTTGGACTGAGTTTTGCAAGGACTTCGCTACTGTGGGTAACGCTACATTTCCGCGTTATATACTTCAACCTAAGGCAAGGTTTGAGTTGCATGCCTTTTGTGATGCCAGCCTCCAGGCCTATGGGGCTTGTATCTACGCTCGTTCGTTTAGGGATACCGCCGATGAGGTACATTTGCTTTGCTCGAAGGCTAGAGTTGCACCATTGAAAACCCTCACGGTGCCTAAGCTTGAGCTATGTGCAGCGTTCCTGTTAGCCAATTTACTTCGCGAAATTAGGAAAATCGATACCTTCGACTGCCCGATCCATTGCTGGTTGGATTCAACTGTGGTACTGTCTTGGTTGCGAGAGGAACCATCCAAATTTAACGTGTTTGTGTCTAACAAGATTTCCGCAATACAGCAACTTACGAAGGGCATGGATTGGCGCTATGTACCAACTGAAATGAACCCGGCTGACATTCTTTCAAAGGGAGCAGCGCCTCAGGAGCTCTTGCAGTCTAGGTTGTGGATGAATGGACCTTCTTTCTTGCAAGGCGAAAGAAGTAGCTGGCCTGAACGTTGTTCGCCCGAACTCAGTCTTCCGGAAATTAGGCATCGAGTATTGCTGTCATCTGAGCGTGTCGACATCTCGCTTTCGTTTAAGCACATTAACTCATTCGGAGTCATGATGCGCATTTTCGGATATGTTCATAAGTTCGTCAACAAGAAAAGGTCACCTGATCTCTCGTCTGAAAACCTTCGCAAAGGATCGCACTTGTTGTGTCGCATCGTTCAACGCGCCCACCTTTATCCCGAGTACCGTGCTCTGCGGAAGGGGAACTGTGTGGAGTCCTCCAGCAGCATTATATCTCTCTCGCCTTTCATAGATGACGTTGGTTTGATTCGTGTTGGTGGTCGCTTGCGGCACTCAACTCTTGGCCAGACCTCGTCTTGTGGAACACATAATGGCTGACCTACCGAAGGATCGAGTGCAGGATTCGCCTGCATTCAGCGTCACTGGAATCGATTACTGTGGTCCCTTCTATTACAAGCCAGATGGCCGCACTCGAACGCCTACAAAATGCTACATCAGCGTCTTCATCTGTTTTGCAACAAAGGCCGTTTGGTTGGAATTAGTGAAGGACCTCACAACTGCTGGATTTTTGAGTGCCCTCAAACGCTTCGTTGCCACGCGCGGCATACCCCGATGCATTTGGTCGGACAATGCCACCAATTTTGTGGGCGCGAGGAACGAGTTGGAGGACCTTCGGCGGCTGTTTATGAGCGAGAAGCATCGTGATGCAGTTCATAATCATTGCATCAACAATGGCTTCAATTGGAAGTTTATCCCGCCTCGCTCGCCCCACTTCGGGGGCTTGTGGGAGGCAGCAGTGAAGATGGCCAAGCAGCATTTATATCGCTCCCTGGGATCGTCACTCTTTGGCTTTGACGAGCTGCGGACATTGGTCTGCCAAATCCAGGCTGTAATAAATTCTCGTCCTCTTCTCGCAATTTCAGAAAACCCTGAAGATCTTGGCGTCCTTACACCAGGACATTTTCTAATTGGCCGTCCGCTGATGGAGTTTCCTGAGCCAGATGTTACAAATCTAAACTTTAACAGACTAGATTGCTGGCAAAGAGTCGCCTGTGCTCAGCAGATCTTTTGGAAGCGTTGGAGTGAGGAGTATTTGACTCTGCTACAACAACGTGCCAAATGGCGCACACCGCAGCCATCGATCCAAGTCAACGACATCGTCTGTATAAAGGACGAAAACTTGCCGCCGTTGAAGTGGCCATTAGCACGGGTGATCGACATCATCGCTGGAGCTGATGGCACTGTGCGAGTTGCCGTCCTGAGAACGCCATCTGGAACCACTCGTCGAGCTGTCAACAAGCTGTGCGTCCTACCCGTTGAGGATCCTGTTAAAAGCCCTAGTCTTTCAACGGGGGGGAGTATGTTCGGAGCAGCAGCCGATAATAGTTCTTCTTAATATCATATAGTCATATATCATCTCTTATACTGCTTATACTTATCGCTCTCTCAGTACGCTCCCGTACACACGCACATATGCCAGTACTGCTTATAGTGCATTGCTTCGCCCTGTTCTCGGTGCAGTCCAAATATTCGTAGAAAGCATCGAGTCGTAGCTCACGGCCACGGCCTCAAAACCTTTGTAACCCGTCGTGAAAATAAAAAACATTTGTAAACTTAACCAACGGAGTAAATTATTGTAAATGTGGAGTCAGAGTTGCCGAAAAAGCTCGGCAGCTTCCAACAAATACCTTTTCGAAGGTTGCGGGATTTGGTTAACGAATTTTAGCTCCAAAGTCTCTCCATAGATTTTTATGAGCGATACCTGGAACGACGTCAAATTAATGCACCTATACACAAAAAAATAGAGGACACAGGATATAAGTTTTTTTTCGACTTTTCCTGAGTTTTTAAAGTCAAAATTTTGTAAAAAATACCGCAAAAAAATCATCATTTTTGCATTTCAATGCTTTATATTTCCCAGACGGTAAGCTGTAATCACAAAGTGTTTGGGCTTAATTATCTTTTCAAAATAGCAAAGTTCTTTACAACCAGACGTAAGATACTAGAGTTATGTGAAAAAAACAAGCGCTACCTCTGAAAAAAGCTTTACAAAAAAATACCAGTTTTCAAAAATTCTTCAAAAAAAAGTTCTGCCATAGAAAAAAAATATATATCATCAAACCATTTCTAGGCCCCAAATCTTTAAGAAAAAGTTCGTTTTGTTCCTTGAGGAAAAATCGTGTTGACTAGTGTAATATGGGCCACACTGCTTCATTTCAACTAATGTATCTGCCCATTTGAAATTGAGTGATTTCATCGGTAACATTAGAAGCTGCTCCAAAAACAGCCATATCACTGCCCTTGTTGATGTATTTGCAAATGTATTTAATAGATTGAACTGAATTGCAGACCTCTACGTTCATGTGCGCTTTATAAATCTTAGATAATAACGGTGAATATGGCACAACCCAACGATTATCAATCTCCAAATCTTGATTTTAAACTCTCAAAGTTACCGAATGGCCATTATCTTCAGTTGAACGACGCCGATATTCGGGATATCCATCGTTGCCCGTCACTGTATCGGAGACCAAATTTTTTGGAAAACGTTTGGAGCATTTCCCTTCAACCATACAGGGTGAATTCAAATTCAACGCACCACATGGACCGTGAATCATATATTTGGTGACCACTTCAAACAATTCAGGATCCACTGTCGGATCTGGAATTTCTGCCGAAATCACATCGTCAATTTGATTCGGCCTTATTTTTTCAATCAGCCAAATTAAAATATGCGCATGAGGCAAACCTCGTTTCTGCCATTCAATTGAATACATTGAACAGACCCAAATGCACCGTCTTTGACAATTAAATCCATGAGTGATTTCAATTTTTGTCTAAAAACACGTGCTAAAATATCATGGCGATCTTTCGATGTTTGGCCAACAAACAATAATTCCGAGATTTCTTCCCATTGCGGATTACACGTGAAGGCGATGAAGAGGTCTGATCGACCGTAACGGCGAACGTATGACATCGCTTCTTGCGCGTAATCAAACATATGACGTGGACTTCCAACATACGATGACGGTAATATTATCATAGTTCCAACGTTTTGTGCATTACCATCGTTGTTAATGGAATCACGCAAATGAACATACTCTTCGGAACGTAATTTGGCTTGGTTGAATCGAAGAAAATAAAACCGTTCCGATTCAATTTTAGCATACATGTCAACAATATACTGGTGGAAAAGTGCTCTACACCTCAATAAAAGGTTGTCTTGATTTTGCCGTATCTGCAGCCTGTATGCGTAATAATTCATAGCATTAACTTTCTTTGTTCCTTCTCGACCGTTTACTGGATTTATCAATTTAATGCTGAAATTATAGCCTTCTTGTCCGCTCCAAAACAGTATGGGATATTGTAGTGCATCATAACAGCGATGAGTCTCGGATACACGTTCAAGTTGTTCATTTCTACGATGAAGCACAATATCACGATTATTAAATTGCTCACCAACTATGACTATTGCCACTTCGACAACTGTTTGTGCATTGAAACGCCTTGCATGTTCGCCAACCGGTGTTTTGTCAGCTCGAATAACAATTTTACGATCGTCAGCAAGCGATGTTTTGAAAACCTGAACCAATTCGTTGTGCTCATGGAAAATATTTTGCAAATCGAAAATAATTTGTCTCCGCGTGTTTGTAATAATGGCACACCGACGATCAGCTTCGTCTTCCGCGTTCCCGATAAAATATAATTGCAAAAATTGGTGGTCTGCGTTGTCGAAAGGTAAAAAAGAGCCAGCTCCATGGTATATTTGACCTTTAATCTGAATAAAATATATGAGAGAATGAGAACAAACGTACAATTTGCATAAACAAAAATATTTAATTACCTTGAACATTGGCATGAAGTTGTATAATATTTGTGGTGCCAAAAGATGTCATTTGAAAACTCGAATTATACTTTCGTATATTGTTAAAAAAATGATTAGACTCAGGTGTCAATCCATTAAGTAATGTGCTCAATGGTTGTGGTGGGCTGCCTAATTCAGCCAATTTCACTTTACCACTCGCACAGCACATCCCATCTGCTTCACCTTTAAATTTTAATGCCTGACAATGGCGACAACGGTCGTTCATTGGACCAATTATAATTTGCCTGTGAGAAGCGTAATCGGTGACACTACTGTACGCGAACGCAACCCCTTGTAGATTTTGAATATCACGACGTTCATTTGCAGTTGTTGTTGCATCATTGTTCCGTTGATTTGAACGGGACCTTGCTGTGCGTAGACGATTCTTTTCATTGCGATGTGTATTGACTTGGCTACTTTCACGGCTCCTCGAAGCCACAACTTGAAATGAATTTCGCGTTCGCCGACCCAAATTTAATCGTCTCGACATTTAACATTAAAAACCACACAGGTTGGTTTAAAACGCACACATTTTCAAAAGCAACAAATATACTTACACAAATTTAAATTTTTTCAGAAAACAAATTTTCACAAAAAAAGTTATAAAAAACAAAATCTATTATCAAATGTTCTGTTCTACAGAATGACACAAAATGAAATGAAATAGGCGTTCAAACACACATTTTTAGACCAAATTTGTTCTACAGAATGACACAAAATGAAATGAAGTAGGCGTTCAAACACACATTTTTAGACCAAATTTGAGATTTTTTTTTGATTAATTTTTAATTTTTGGTGTACCCTTTTTATAGAAAAGTGAAAACTTTTTTAAAGAAAGAATGCCGCATACTCTGGCTATCACCGCATGCAATTTGGTGCACGCGTTGCGGAGAAATGAAATGAAATAGGCGTTCAAACACACACTTTTGGGACCAAATTTAAGATTTTTTTGATTCATTTTTAATTCTTGAGGAACCTATTTATAGAAAAGTACAAATTTGTTTGTGCAAACCAGGTCACATTCTCTGGCTATCATTTAAAAAAACAGCATGCAATTTGGTGCACGCGTTGCGGAGATAGCCGCTTACACACAGATTTTTTTCTACAAATTTATAGTATAGATTACAGCTATGAAAGCTTTAAGGACCAATAATTAATTAAAGATTTTACAATGAATTCAAGTTAATTGTGCCGTATTTAAGGATCATGTGACGCCGAGATGATATTAGCTAGTTGAATTAGAGCATTCTTATAGGGATCAAGGAAGAGTGTGATCAAGGAAGGGCATCACGAGTTGCAACAACACCACAAGCAACTCCCGCTCGACTTCGACTGCTGTTGAATCTGACCAAATCTGTCCGTTTTATTTTGTTTCTTCCATCCGAACCTGGAACCGCACGCGAATTATATTTTTTTTTTATTGTTATGCACGAGCCCTTGACGCGAACTCTCCGTACCCCACCCCCACTCTACTCGACTACTCATGAGAAACGGGTGCATGGATCCCGATCATACCCACCATCTGCTCGACTAATGACTCAGTTCGTAGCCTCCTGCTGTTAGCTGTTAACTGTTACACCTCAGCCAACCAAACTCCTGAAGCCTCGAGACTGCCCTATACGTGGTATTTTTGTTTGGTTCTAAGGAAGATTGAAGACGGTAAAAAATATTTAAAACATAAAAAAATTTAAATAAACAACAAAAAAAATAAATAAAAATAATAAAATAAAACCTAAATTGATATTACGATCAATTCCAGCTACATCTCGTAGAAAAAAAAGTCAGGTCATTCATAAAAGTCCATACAGATCGCCCAAAATCACTTCACCATCCATCCCTTCGCCACCGGCAAGAGAACTATACATATTTCAAGTAAAACACACTTACAAGAAGAAAAAAAAAAACAAACAAATTTTTAAATAAATAAAATTTTTGCTAATAAAATTAACATTTCAATCATTTCAGTACTCCAGGATAAAGAATATAAAAACATATAGACAAATTGAACTGTGACCCACTAAACTTTTGGAAGGTAAATCATGTTAAATTTATTATATTAAATTTTTATACAGTCGAAATTCGGAAATTAGAACCGCTTTGTTCATGGGGTGGTTCTATTCAAAATATTATTATTTGTGTACATTTTTTTGCACAAAAAATAATAAATTAACAATAGAAGTTGTTTGGTTACGCAGCCAAATAGTGGCCAAATGCATAGATTATAGCCAGTGGTGCAGCAGTAGAGTAAATCCTTATTATTGTTCGTTGTTTGCACTGCCCACTGTACTAAATTGTTATTTACTTACAAACTCATGCACGCATTCATGCTCCCTCACGGCAGCAGCCTATGCAGCCGTTCTCTTTCACCTCTTCATCCCGCGCCTTTCTTTCTTTCCTTTGCTTTGCTATCACTCTCTCGATCTGTCGCTCTCTCGCTCGCATTAGGGCACGGGCAATTCGGCCCAGTATAAAGTATATATGTATCGCCTTTATAGTCTGGATCTAGCAACCACTGCACATCGTCTTGGAATCGAGCTATTCAATCCGACACCGTCTTGTACCGACCCCCGCGTCTACAATCTGGCCCCGTCATGAATTCAGCTAACTCTCCAACCGACTCGTCATTAATCTAACTCGAACCTTTCGCTATCTCTTTGACTCTGTATCGTCTTTATACTGTTTACAACAATAAACCATATTTAATCTAAACAACCATCGTCTCGTTAATAAACATATCGCAAAACTACGCTAGTGAAAAAGCTCGCTAGCTCAACAGAAGTAGTTACGCAAGTTTTATTTTAAGCATAGTATCCAGAACCGCTTAATCGGAAAATTCCTGTCAAACTTTATATAAAAAAACACTGTGGCAGGAATTTTTCGTTTACGTTTTCCTGGCTTGAGTATCCAGCAACATGAGCGGGATCCACAGATTTATATTGATAGTTGCCTATCGGGACCGTGCACAGTGGTCGATTCTGCCTATCTGGCAGGCAATAAATCAATAATTAAAATGTCGAATCTTGTTAATTTTTTTTACTTTTTGGAAAGTAAACATCCCACTGATATTTATTGCGATATTTATATATTTTTCGTATCGATAGTCCAGTACCTGCACGCGGTTGAATCGCAGCAAACTTTTCTGTCCATACCTAAGTACATTTTACCGCCTTTTTATTGCTTTTGGTAAAGCAAAATAAATCTTAATGTTTTGCGATTTGTATTAAAATTACCATCCATTTTGATCATAGTTGGTAAGTATTTAATAAAAAATATATGTTTTGGTCCCGTGCTTGCATGTATAAGAGGTAAATCGTTGTAGAACTTAACATTTCCTTTAGTGTGCTATTAATATCATACCCGACACTTGCATGGAATAGATCTTTTGACATCCGCCCCCTTGCGCCTTCAATACTTTTTATTTATGAAACCAGTATTTTTTTAATCTTCTGTGTTAAAACAAATTGCAACTACGTGCAACAAATTAATTTATTTGGTTTTACAGGGAAAATGGCAGTGTCAAAAAGCACGCTTTTTGCGATGTTTCGTAAGGAAACTGAGTAAGAAAAAAAGCTAAGGCGAGTTGGATCCATGTTTTCACTCAATTAATTGATAAAACTACTCGACAAAATCGAACTTTTTTTTTCCTCAAGGATCCAAACCGACTTTTTCTGATAGATATGGGGCTTTAAATTTGTTTAAAGAATTATGGTTTTTTTTCTATGGCAGAACTTTTTTTTGACAAATTTTTGAAGTCTGGAATTTTTTTTAAGCTTTTTTCAGAGGTAGCGCTTGTTTTTTTCTGATAACTGTAGTATCTTACGTCTGGTTGTAAAGAACTTTGCTATTTTGAAAAGATAATTAAAACAGCTAGAAGATAAGCCCAAACACTTTGTGATTACACCTTACCGTCTGGAAAATATAAAGCATTGAAATGCAAAAATGATGATTCTAAATCTTCTAAATCTTCCCTCTTATGAGAGTAGGCTGCGTCTCATCGATATCCATTCTCTCGAAAGTAGACGTATTTGTCATGGAGTTCTTTTTCTTCACAAATTACTCTCTGGTGAGGTCGATTCCGCTGCCCTCAATAGCCTTATTAGCATTGCTGTTCCGCCCGACTAGGCACTTACTCTGACTATGAATCTTTCCGTAGCCTTTGCCGTATCTATAGTACATATTTTCATCTGTTTTCCTTTGACACTAGTACCACTAAGCTCAACTCCTTATTAATGAATTATCTAATTTGCTTTATTCTCAACTTTATACGCTATCGGTTATTCTTCTAACCACAACTTGGCTGTGGGTTGGACCATAGCGGCTGCTTGAGCCAATAAATCAAACCCATCGGGTCAGGGTAATAGCCATAGTCAATGTTCTCATATTCATGTAATTTTTGTTTTTTCCTTAGTTTAACTGCCCATAGTTGAACCTTAGACAATAAACAAGAAATGACAATAAACAATAAACAGGTGGTCAATAGAATTTGACGATCCCTATATAACGATGACTCTCTATATCTCGCTTGTTCGTCCGATTTTAGAGTACGGCTCTTGTGTATGGTGCAGCCAGTACAAAGTACACCAGGACCGTATATACTCAGTCCAGAAAAACATTTTACTTTTTACTCTGCGTGGCCTTAACTGGGATGCAGGTGTGAGACCGCCATCTTACTTTCGTAGATTGCTTTTAATAAACCTTCTAACCTTAGTTAGTCAACCAGGTCAAGGTTGACGTACATAGCCCTGACTTGTTGACCCGTATAAATTTCACGATTCCCTTAGATCTACTAGAAACTTTATTCCTTTGTTCCTTCCACTTTGTAGATCAAATTATTCCGTGCATGAACCATTAAGGTTCTTATGCTCAGATTATAATTTGCTCTACCTTATAAAATCCACCACTAATTCCCTTCCTCTTCTTAAATCACTAATATTAACATACCTTTCCCGTAATTAGTACTATTTCTTAGCTATCTTTGCATGTTTAGCTCTTTCAATTGTGTTAAACTCTAATTTTCCTCGAATATTAGTCTAGCCCCTATCTTTCCAATATGTTCGCGACCAGTTCGGGAACACGCGTCGCGTGTCATGCGGCAGCGCCCCTCGGTCGGTTGTGCGGGAGGAGGGGCTACGTTTCTGCCTGGTCTCCGCGCGTAACATGGCCATTAGATGGTGCAGACATTGCATATCAACGTCCAGACATAAGCACCAATTCACTGAATCACTGTCAGAGCATCAACCATGTAGACACCATCTGAACTCCGCGATGTAAAAACGACGACACCACCCCAAATTCCACTGACCCATCGTTAGACCGTCGATGAAGCACCAATTCCCGAACCACTAACCCCACACAAATAATCTTAAGTATGCCTAGTAATAAAAAGTTATTATGATAGTACCGATCGCCAGCTGCGAGTTTAAATAGCGCCGACCCAACAGAAGAAAAGGGCAGTCGATCAGCCCCAGTCACTCAACAAGCTGACCCTCAAAAGACAGCAGCAAAGAATATTAATAAATAAAACAACACTCAATCAGGGCAGTCCATCATCCATCAGCAACAGTCACGCAAGACAGAAAGACACGAAAACGAAGCCCCAATAATGTAAACAAAACAAACCATCAATAAAATTGAACTAAATAAGCAAACTAAAAAACCAAAATCAACCCACCTGCGTCATCAGCCGTACCCTCACTTCCGTTAATAGGTCAGGCCCCCACTTTAAGCTCCCAGCGAATCTACAAATTTCTTTTAGAAAAATCCTGGCTGGACTGAGCATACGTCAGCCTGAGATAGGTTCTAACAAAGTGGGATATTAACCCAAGGAATTAAAAAATTCACGTCAAACTTCATGTAAAAAAAATGTGGTAGAAATTTTTCGGTTACGTTTTCCTGGCTTGCGTATCCAGAAAAGTAGGAATTGGAGGCAAAATCTGTGCGCAAACCAAAACGAGAAATGCATATTCTTCCTTTTTTCGTTGCAACAATATATGCCGTGTGCTTTTTTTCTTTTTTAATTTTAGTGGAATTTCACAGTTGGCACTGCTTACAAAACACAGCTGATCCTCAAACCTGTTTTAGTTATGTTCCACACCCTCACGTAATAATTTGCAATTCCTGGCAGGAATTTTCCGTGGTGCTGGGGACAGGCCTTAAGGACTACTTGCTGGTTATTCCGCGAGGGTGTGGAACACATACGAGAACACTAAAAGGCTAGTATCGTTGAAAACTACCATATCTTCCAGATTGCCGAATCTGGATCAGATCAGATCATTATTATAGCCAGAATGAAGAAATTTATTTTCAGCAGCTTCCCCCACCTCCTTCAGCGCGAGACCTAGCTACTCATTCTCTTTCTCGCTCGCACACACTCTGCCATGTGCAATGCGCGACCTTTGCGGAGAATATGTAGAATAATATAGGTCTACTGGACGTTGATATGCAATGACTGCACCATCAAGTGGCCCATGCGACACCAAGCAGAAGCCTGTTACGCGCGGAACCCAGGCAGAAACGCAGCCCTCCTCCCGCCCAACCGACCGAGGGGCGCTGCCGCATGACGCGCGACGCGTGTTACCGAACCGATCGCGAGCATGCAGGAAAGATAGGTGTTAGACTAAAATTCGAGGAAAATTAGAGCTAAACACAACTCAAAGAGCTAAACATGCAAAGATAGCTAAAAAATATAACTAATTACGGGAAAGGTATGTTAGTATTAGTGATTTAAGAAGAGGAAGGGAATTAGTAGTTGATATTATGTGGTAGAGGGAATTGAAGTCCGAGCAAAGTACCCTAAATGGTACGTGCAAGGAATAATTCGATCTACAAAGCGGAAGGAACAAAGGAATGCAGTTTCTAGTAGATCTAATAGGAATCGTAAAGTTTATGCGGCTCAACAAGTCAGGGCTATCTACGTCACCCTTGATCAGGTTGTGCATAAAAATCACACCAAGCATTTTTCTACGACTAACTAAGGTTGGAAGGTTTATTTAAAGCAATCTACAAGGGTAAGACGGCAGTCTTACAACTGCATCCCAGTTAAGGCCACGCAGAGCAAAAAGTAAAAAGTTTTTCTGGACTGATTCTGTACGGTCCAGGTGTACTTTGTACTGGCGGCACCATACACAAGAGCCGTACTCTAAAATCGGACGAACAAGCGAGATATATAAAGTCTTCGTTATATAGGGGTCGTCAAATTCCTTTGACCACCTCTTTATAAACCTACTAGTTGACCGATTTATAGCAGCTGGTGACTACAATGCTAAGCACACCCATTGGGGATCTAGACTTACCAACCCGAATGGAAGACAACTATATCACGCTATAATAACCCCACGAAACAAGCTAGACTTTATCTCTCCGGGCAAGCCCACATATTGGCCCACAGATCCAAACAAGCAACCCGACTTGATTGATTTTGCAGTTATACGAAGGGTGCTGCAAGCTCAGATTAATGTAGATCACTTAACAGATCTATCATCGGATCACTCGCCCATTCTACTTCACCTTTACGACCATCCACAGCTTTCGGAACGCCCACACTTTCTAACTTCTAGCAAAACAGATTGGCTCAAATACAGGAGGTACATAAGCTCTCATATTGATAGCTGCCCAAACATTAATTGTAAAGATGACATTGATAGGTCAGTCGAAGCATTGGTATCCTCAATGTCACTAGCGGCAAAACACTCAACACCAATATTAGCATCTAATAAACTTTCCAACAGCAGTCGTATTTCTAGGCACATTGAAGTGCTGCTACGCGATAAAAGAAGGCTTCGCCGAGAGTGGCAAGCACACAGATCACCTGCCTCGAAAGAGCGGCTAAAAATAGCCAACCACATACTACGCAGAGCCCTAGAAGATGAAAACAACCGAGCTCAAATATCCTATATGGAGCAACTCTCCCCAACTAGCAAACGGGGAGCCCACTGTGGAAAGCAAAATCAGGCGTATTCAAGCCATAAATCCGGCTAATATGCAGAACCAAAACAGAAAAAAAAAAAAAAACAGACGGAAACACACATCATCCTACGCGGCGTTAATGTGGCCCCCAGCGGCGAATAAATCTCACAGCCTTACGGAATTAACCAGATACTTACGCACAAAGATGTTGCCAATCAGAGTGGCTGGCAGGCAGAAGACAATAACAAGGATGTCCGCAATGGCCTGGAATCTGGGAATGGTATGGAATGGAATAGAAATTTAAGTTCAAATTAATGGGGTTCATTCGTAAGATTTAGGGGCCACATACCAGATTCACAATGAAGTAGTTTGTCACCGTCCGCATGCGAGGCGCCCGCAGGACGACGGCAATCACGAAGCTATTGCCAATGAGACCCACCAGGAACACCACGATATAAGCCACGATATAGACAATGGACATGGCCAGCGAATGGCAGTAGAGCGGATCGAAGCCAAAGTCCACGTTTCCATCGAACTGCTCCCAGCGCATGGAACTGTCATTGTAGGATTTGGTGGCCGCTACTGCCGCGATCAGGCTGGTGGTCACCGGCGACATGTTCAGCAAGTTGGCATAATAGGTGGATGAGGTGGCCGAGAGTGAATCACCTTTGCGTACACAAACAGGAGAGTGGGCTCGCAGCAAAGAGAAGGCAAATACATTTGCCGTCCATCTAGAAAACGTCTTCAAACCACACCCAGCAACAAAAACCTTTGTGCTCCCACCAACCAACAATCCCGAAGCTACTCCGCCTATCATATTCCAATCAGGAGATGTCACAAAAGTCATTAAAGACCAAATCTCAAAGCAAAAGAAAGCTCCGGGCCACGATTTCATCACCCCTAAAATGATCTTAGAATTTCCGAGCTGTGCAGTGTATTTCCTTACTGTGATATTCAACAGCATGATGAAATGGGACTATTATCCTCAAGAATGGAGGAAATCTGTCATCACAATGATCCATAAAGCCGGAAAAGACAAGTCCAAGCCATCATCATATAGACCTATCAGCCTTCTGCCATGCCTATCAAAGATATTTGAAAAGTTGCTCCTGAATCGTATCAAACAAGACCTATCATATCATATATATCATATTCACAGCAGATTTACCGACAAACAGCCTAAAAACAACTTCGACATTTGATGATTATACTGCTATATTAAGTCGCTCTAAGTGCCCAAGAAGGGCCACGGAACACTTATCATCTCATCTCGTGGCCTTAGAAAAATGGCTAGCAGACTGGTGGATACATGCAAATGAGCAAAAGTGCAAGCATGTCACCTTTATGTCTGAACAATATCAACATTCCACAAACCACCGAAGTAACATACCTTGGTGTTCATCTGGATAGAAGGCTTACTTGGCGTAAACACATCGAAGCGAAGAGAAATCTACTTAAATTTAAAGCTAGTAATCTACATTGGCTAATAAACACCCGTTCACCACTAAAACTGCAGTTCTCAAACCCATCTGGACATACGGCTCCGAGCAATGGAGAAATGCTTGCGTTAGTTATTTAGAAATAATCCAGAGAGTTCCATCGAAGATACTAAGAACTATCACTGGGGCCCCATGGTACATACGGAATGAAAAATGTAAATGTAGGATCAGTTAAAGATGAAATTGCCAAAATGAAAGCAAAGTACTAGCTTCAAGCCCATCCTAATAGACTTGCGCAGTCTTTAACTTGGCACACTAGCCATACACGACTCCGGCGAAGAGACCTCCCCACCCAGCAATAATACTTAGCTAGGGACGTACTCTAAGTAATTAAGTGTAATTAATTAAATAAATATATTAGGCTAAGATTCAAAAAATAAAATAACAAATAAAAAAAAAAATCTCTGCGCGCAATTTCATCAGAGCGTCATACTCGGCTTCCACAATGCTCGGCTGTCCCATGCTTGGAGTGTTTTTTTCCTGCATGCCTCGAGGCATGCAGCCTGCTGCTGTTCCATTCGGTCGATCGAACCTTCTGGTGGAAACAGCTGATGGACTGTGTATTGTTGTTTTTCCCATTTTCATGTCTGGCATTCATTACATATACGTAGTGAGTTCCGTTTTTTCTTTGTGAATGCCAATTTATTGTTGCATTTGAAAATTATCAAAAAGTACGGCACAGAAACGTGCGAGTAAGGAACATCCCAGATGGATGGTGGAATAACTGGGAAATTTTCGGAATGGCAATACCTTCCGGAACATCCCTGAAATGGATGCTGGATGGTCACCAGTGTGAAAAGGCTTTTAGAGCGCCGCTCACAGAACAAATGAAGTCAATTGATGTGCCCTCTGTTGTCGTGATCATTCGCTGTTACATCTCTCACAGCATTGTAATCGCTGCGACCAGTCGAAATACAATTTAACATCTGCCTTTTCGCTGCATACCACATAATATCTTCCAAGAACAGAGCATCTAAGGATATGCTGGACCGGTGTCATTACCCCTTTTTAACAGAGGCTTTTTGGGTGAAAACCTAAAACGTAAAAGTAAATGAAAGCCGGAGCCTGCCTGAAAATATATCCATAAATATGCAACGCAAGGAAAACTATATAGGTCTCATTCCACTGTTCCATATTAATTCTTACATTACCGTTAAATCAAATCTCTTTAATGGTATCGCCTCAAATAAACTCAAATCGATAGTATCGATGTCTTGCATCCCTAATCTAAATTGCATTTATAACCAAAACAATATTTTCAACGTTTAGAAATTTATTTAATAAAAATGTAAGTTAAATGTATCTTAATCTCAAGCTTTTATTTGCGATTGCATTTTTCACTTATCCCCTTTTAAACTTACAAACATTTAACAAGTGATGTTGCATTCAACCTCTTAAAATTGTCTACCCCAGCGGTAAAATACTTACATGCATATGTACATATACTTAATTTCATTGAATTTTTTGACAACGAGCAGCGGTTGTCAAAATAAATGATTTCATCAGTTCAATTTAGAAGATTTCGATTAAAAATGAATTGAGCTATTTTCATATTATCCTATGTTATAATACTTAAGATATACATACATATGTAAATATCCCAATAGGAATCAAAGTTACCCTTTTAAATAAAAAAAAAACAAGCAAAAAGACTAATTTTGGTACAAAAGGTGTGAAACACCTACCGGAAATGTGTATATACATATCTATGTATGTACTAATAAATAAATAAACCCGAAAATATTTTTACTTTTTCTTATATCTTTATTATAATTTTTTACGATGGTATCCTTATAAAAATTAACTAAAGAAATTAAGTTTACGCACATCAATTATTTGTAAAGTCGTTAGGTTCTTCAAGTAATATTTTTGTTGGCCGTATTCGTATTTATGATGTTTAAAAGGCATTGGCGCCTTTCCCTCAAGTTTTTGTTGTCTTAGGCCAGTGTCCCGCAAAGCGTGTGCCGCGGCACACTGGTGTACCGTCGTCAGCAGTTGATGTGCCGCGAAAAAAGTCAAGGTTTCGTGAAGAATACACCTAAAAATCTCAGCTATAATAGCGAGGCGGAAAAGCCTCAACCGCGTGGTGCGTCTTGTTCACACCCATGTGAACATACAGCGGCTTTATTGCGAAAAGTGCTAATCGGATTTACGAGCTTTAAAATAAGACTTTAGAGGCGTAGGGTTCTGATTTTGCTTCAGCGTTGAAAAGGTGGTGGTGGAAGGGGGCTGGGCGAAATTTTGAAAATTACTTGTAACAGTGTGATATCAATTTTGTTGCTCTAGCTCTTCTAGATTTTGAGAACTATGCGACAAACAAGACGGACAGACAGACATGGCTATATCGACTCCGCTATTTATGCTGATCAAGAATACCAGGGGTGCCACAGAAATCACTAGTGAAATGGGAAACCGCGCAGAGGATTTCCGCTTAAAAATTTCCGCCGTGCCACAGAATTGCGAGCGATTTCATTTTTCTTAGCATTGTCACAAACCAAATTCGAACTAAGGCTAGGGCTGACACCTTTCAAGATTTAATTCGAATAGGGTTCATTTTGCAGTTTTATTGGTTTTATCATATCAAAACAATTGGTTTTTCTTTTTTTTCTATTATGATATAAAATAATTGATTTTTGAAAGCTTTACTTTTAATCAAAAAAACATCCCATATCGTGAGAGTCAAACAAAACAATGTACTCGGCAACTCCAGCAGTTGTCTGGCAACTCTCCGTGCATGGCAGCAATCAGCTGTTAAAAAAAACAGACATCTGAATTTTACGGTAAACTTAATTAAAATACTTTTACCGAGACTGTTGGCCATCGAAGAACTACGGAGGCAACATATTAGAATACAAACCATGCTTCGCAGGCTTCTCAGATGCGCATCGGACTCGTTTTCGTGTTCAGACGATAGGTATGTGGTTTTTGTGATTGTCTTCTCAAACTACTGCTAATTTAGTTCATTACAATTACCAGTTTTTATACCCGTACTCAAAAAAGAGTTAAGGGGTATATTAGATTTGTGGTAAAAGTGGATGTGTGTAACGCAGAGAAGGAAACGTTTCCGACCCCATAAAGTATATATATTCTTGATCAGCATCAAAAGCCGAGTTGATAGAGCCATTTCTGTCTGTCCGTCTGACCGTCTGTCCGTCTCGATAAGCGCCTAGATCTCAGAGACTATAAGGGCTAGAGAAACCAAATTTGGTTTCCAGACTTATGTGATATCACACTGCTACAAGTGTATTTCAGAATTTCGCCCAGCGCCCTTCCGCCCCCCCAAAAGAAGGAAATGTGGCAGGCACAATTTTAAAGATACGATAAAACTGAAAACGCAGTATCGTAGAGAATGTCCATATCTACCAGATTGCCGAATCTGAATCAGATCGGATCATAATTGTAGCCAGAATGAAGAAATTTATTTTCAGTTGCTTCCCCTGCCCCCTCCTGCCAACGACAACACATCTCATTTTCCATCTCGCTCGCACACTCTGCCTCGTTCAGTGCACGAGCAACCCCTAGCAGAGGAGATGTAGAATCTAAATGGAACATGTACAATCTACATGTTAGATGTAGAATATACATTGTAGATGTAGATAGCAGATGTAGCAAAAAAATGTTAAATGTAAAATTTTTTTTTTTTAATTCTATAATTCTAAAAAATCATATGCTCAAAAATGTTTATACGGACTGAGTACGGGTATAAGTAGAGTGAGTGATCATCCAAAGCGGATGCACTAAGTGATAGAAAAGCCAAAATCGAGGCCGAGTGGGGTTAAATCCGATTGGTGGAACATTTTGAGAAAAGTGAGTGGTGAAAATTTGAATTTAAACGTAAATTAATCCGCGGTGCATTCCCCATAGCCTGGCCCGGAAGATTGACCAACGCAGCCGGGTCAGTGTGCCAGACGAGCCGATCTTCTAAACCAAATCGTGAGTCCGTTCCGTGTCTCTTGTGCATGTGCCGTGGGGGTGCTTTCTTAAATGCAAGCTACATTATTTATGTTGTCTATCGTGTTGTCCTATATTATGTGTACTTATTGTTATTATTATTAGTAGTTTAAGTAAACAGTAACGTAAACATACCCGATTTGTACAATGCCAAACATTGCCCGACAGAGACACAAAACAACAACATATGGTAGGACCCTTGTGCGCGACGCGGGGTCCCACAAGCCCACTGTTTTGGTGGACAATCGATGGAATATTGTGGTGTTCTTTTTGTTGTTGTCGATGGCAGTGTTTATTTCTGCCCCTGTGACCCAAGGACACAAGGAAGTTGAGCTGGTGCACCGTGAGGCTTCTCGCTTATCGGCCATCACTCAAAGTGATGTCTAGTGTAGGCGACAAGTCACAAAAGAGGTGTTTTGTGAATGTAGTGTATCCGTAGGACGACTGTCAAGTGGAGCGCAGAAACTGGAGCGGTTGTTGGTACCTCCTCTAATAAGAACTATTTTGAGAAAAAGAAGTGTATGTTATTTTGAGTTTCGTGTTTTGTTCGAGAGTATATGTTTTCAGCGGGATTTGCACCTCTCGTTGATCCAGTTTGATGTGCGCCAGTAGAACTTGTGTGATTTCACTGACCGAGCCGTCGGCCAGTCGTATGCATCTTGCAGGTTGGTGTTGTTGTCCAGTTGTCGGGCGAGGTCTACGCTGATGAAGCTTCTGGATGCCCCGGTGGCGAGTGTGGCTTCCATAACATGTCCTATGGTCACCATCACCACTATCCGGCCGTTGTTCACATGTAAGGGGTTCTTACGTCGCGGGTCGGAGGAAGCGTCGTTCCCGGCTGATCCCGTATCAGTTGGGGACGCATGTCGTTTCTCGACGTGTATTGTCGGCAGCAATCGATGCGTTTGCCACATTCCCAGCAGAAGAGGATCGAGGGATTATGTCAGTCGAATTCCGCATGGCCGGCTTTACCACACCGGCGACAGGCTGCGCGTGGGTTGGCGATGAGGGTCGTGTTCATGCTGGTTGGATTAGCTGACGGTCTCCCTTGTGTGTCTCCCAATGGATTCTGCGAAATGGCATCCGGTTCCATTTGTGACAAGCTTTGCAGTTCGTGTAGCCGCACGTACATCTGGTTTGCTGGCATTGCGCTGTCGTATATCCTGTGCTGGGCGTGCTGTATTCGGCGGCTGCCCTGGGGTCCATTTTCCGCTTGTCGGACGGCCCAGGAGTGGTAGGCATGGATGACCTGGAGCGTCCTGCTTGTTTGGCGTATTGCCGTTCGAGGTCTCCCAGTCGAACACAGGCGTCCTGCGAGAGTGTTGCGGGACTAATGCGGCAAATCTCTTTCGTCGTTCCTCGACCGTTCCTTCGTTGCCAAATCCGAATTCTTCGGCAAGGGCTTCCAGCTCGTCCCGCCGGATTTTGTAAATCCAGCTGGTGGTGACCCCTGGATTGGCATGGTGTCCCTTAGGGAAAAATTCGTCGGGTTGGCCGTCACCCTGGGCTTCCATGGTGTATTTCTGTGGTTAGTGGCACTGACTTTCGTTTTGTTTGTGGTACTTCTGTACTGTGGCCCTTTCGTTCGACACTCGTAGGATCGGCACTACTTGTTCGTGGCCGGATTTTAGTAGGCGCGGTTTTTTTGCTTGACGGGTATTTTTCTGGCTATCCTGTTCTCTTTCGGTGGCCGTGGGTCTTTAATCCACGAAGCCCCGTGTTAAGGTGTTCCCAAAGTTTCCTTAAAGTTGCCTTAAAGTTACCAAAAGTCCCTGCTCGGGCGCCACTTCTGAGGCATCAGCCTGTCCAGAGTTCCTCTACAAGAAATTTGTAGATTTGCCGGAACTTAAGGTTCGGGACTGGCCTTGTATGACCAGAGTGGTAAGCAAGGTAGAACGTTGCAAGAAATGACTCGGGAACTTCTGTTTGTATATTTGTTTTGGATTATTTAATTCATTTATTTGCGTTACTTGTTTATTTACACTTTGAATTTCTCTGGCTGGTGAACTGCCTAGTGTAGTGTCTTGAGTTTGGACTGATGTACTGACTAGTGTAGTCTCTTGGATTTGAGCTGATGGACTGACTTGCGTAGCCCTATGGGTTCGGGCTGACTGCCTGCTTCTTCGGCACCTGAGACCGTAATTTTCCACGGTTCGTCTTCGATGCGGAAATAATTAATTATTTCTAACTTATGATTATTGGGCAATAATTGTGGGGTGGGGTATGAATGTAGGTCAAAATAGGTGGGGGGATCGAGAATTTTGTGCTGTCTTCGCTGATTGCTAAATAACGCAGGAGGTGGGGTGTTTTAAATTGATATGTGGACAAGAATGGGTAGAGTGCTTGATCGAGAGTTCTTAATTTTAGTATTTGTGTGCGTGGCTTAAGACTATTTTATTTTTCGGTGGTCCTGACACACCGCTATTTGTGGAGAACCGTGGACAGAGCCATGGTTCGTTGGCTCTGTGTATATCACTTTGATTATTGTTCCCGACTAGCGTGGATGCGCTGAAACCCCACTGCTTGTAACGAGCCATGGCTAGAGTCAGCCAACTACAGTAGCGGACACTGTGAGGTCCTATCTCAGGCTGAGGTATGCATCAGTCTGTATAGGGTCCGCTACAAGAAAATTTTGTAGTTTGCAGGTGACTTCAGGTGTCGGGCTGGCTGGAAATGCAGTAGGCAAGGGAAAAATGATGACGCGAGAGTTTGGGTTTTGGTTGTTCTTGGTTTATTCAGTATATTTTCATTCACTTAGTTCTTTTACGTTGTTACTCTGGCTTGTAGTTGTATGGTGCGCTGGTGGATTGCTTAGTCAGTGTCTCGTGTTCGGGCTGATGGACTGCCTGTGTCTTGTATTCGGGATGATGGACTGCCTGTGTCTTGTATTCGGGCTGATGGACTGCCGGTTCTTTCGGCCGATCTTGGCCCTTTTATGCAGCTGGCGATCGCACCTGAGACCCGGAAATAATGGCTTATTGCTAACTTAAGATTATTGGGTAACAATAATTGTGGGGTGTGGTAACTAGGTCGAAGCTTGGTGCTTCGTTGACAATTTTTAGTAGGTCGGGGTGGCTTTGCTGAGGCTGCATCCCGGAAGGTGCAGTTGGGAATTGGGTATTTGGTGTACAAAAATGAGTTTTCGCTAACTCTGCATGGCGGAAGTTGAGTGGTAAGTTGATGACCTGAGGCCGAATGGTTGCGAAAGAGGTGAGTGACCGAGCATTTTGTGCTATCTTCGCTGATTGCGAAATAATGCAGAATGGGTAGAGTTGTTGATCGAGAGTTCTTAATTTTAATAATTGCGTGCGTTGCTTAAGACTATTTTATTTCCGGAGTTGCTGACACACCGCTATTTGTGGAGAACCGTGGCTAGAGCCATGGTTCGTTAGCTCTGTGTATATCAGTTTGATTGTTGTCTCCGGCCAGCGTGGATGCGCTGACCCTCCGCCGCTTGTGACGAGCCATGGCTAGAACCATGGTTCGTTACAGCACAGAAATCCGAACACTCATGTTAGCTAACTTTAAAGCGATGGTGCGAATTCAAAAACGTCTAAGTTAGTCGGGGAAATATTTTTATTGCAAATTAAAAATGTAAAAAATGTCGAAAGAAACTGAAACCGAAAAGGCTGCCATTTTTCTTTTTTCGCGCTATTAGCACCAAAATTTGTATGAGTCCTCAAATCACAATTTTCTAAGGGTCCCAAAAGGACTTTCAAACTAGGATCGTATTTGTAAACGTCTGAGCGTTGGAAAGTTGGCATAAGATATTACAAGGAAAGTTTACTTAGTCGGTAGGTATCCATTAGAGATCTGCATATGCACTCCTTCATTCTAACTCATACAACCGAATGTTGAAAAGTGTGAGGCACACACACACATTCGTATAAACTGAATTCATTGTGTGTGTGCCACTCACTTAACTCAATTCGAATGGATTCTATTGGAATTTTGTTTTGAATGGAGCTACGCATATCTCTAGTATCCATATGAGCATCAAAACTAAACGGCGACATCTTCAGGAGACATGACTTAACGGTCGTGGGCCAGCAATAATCCAGAAAAAGCTCCTATTGACCAAAATCAACCAAAATTTTGACTGTAAACGATTGAAGAAACGTAATGTTTGTAACAATAGTAAGATAAACCTGATTGGTTCGAATGGTAGGTCGATTGATCGCCGGAAATCAGCCAACGATTTAAAAATTAGTGCCCAAAACAAATGATGTGGCAAGGAGGCAGCAGGATGGTCTGTAAATTTTTTTTAATATAGAGGTTGGTATCTGGCATTAAATTCATAAATTCTAATAAGCAGTTCTTTTCGTATACTGATGCCCTCATCTTCTAGGACGATTCTGGTCCTTGCCACTGTGCAAAATTGGTCAATATTATTTTTTTAACTTTGTTATTGAATTGTGTTATGAACTCTTATAAATGTTTAATTTTTAGAACGTTGACTTTTTTTTGACAAAATAATATTTGTCAATGCTCCAAATTAGGACATTGGACTGGCCGGGAAATGGTCCTAATCTCTGTGCGATCAAGAATCTTAAGCCAATCATTAATCCAAAACTGAATTGAAAAAAAAAACGAGAAGGAACGTGCGAGTCGCTTCTGGGGACGCGACTCTACTTATACCCATACTCAGTCAGTATATACATTTTTGAGCATATAATTTTTTAGAATTTTAGAAAAAAAAAATAACATTTTAAATTTTTTTGCTACATCTGCTATCTACATATACATCTACAATGTATATTGTACATGTTCCATTTAGATTCTCCATCTCCTTCGCTAGGGGTTGCTCGCGCACTGAACGCGGCAGAGTGTGCGAGCGGGAAAGAGATAGGTAATCGGGTCACTGGCAGGAGGGGGCGGAATACCCAACAGAAAATGAATTTCTTCATTCTGGCTATAATTATGATCCGATCTAATTCAGATTCGGCAATCTGGTAGATTTGATCATTTTCTACGATACTGCGTTTTTAGTTTTATCGTATCTTTAAAATTGTGCCTGCCACAGATTTTCGTATTTTGTTGAGTCGAAAGGGGGCGGGGCGAAATTTTGAAATAAAGTTGTAGCAGTGTGATATCACATGAGTCTGGAAACCAAATTTGGTTTCTCTAGCTCTTATAGTCTCTTAGATCCAGGCGCTCATCGAGACGAACAGACGGACGGACGGACGGTAGGACGGACAGACGGACATGGCTATATCGACTCGGCTTTTGATGCTGATCAAGAATATATATACTTTATGGGGTCGGAAACGTTTCCTTCTCTGCGTTACACACATCCACTTTTACCACAAATCTAATATACCCCTTAACTCTTTTTTGAGTACGGGTATAATTAATTTCAGCTCAGAGACTACAGTCTTTCAAAAATTATTTTGTGAAATGCTGCTCTTTGTTTATTTTTATTGTTTTTTTTAGCGATCTGAGGATAGTTTTGCATAAAGTTAACCGAAACAACTTTTACACTTGGCCACTCTTCGTTCATAATTTTCTGAAATTACCCGCTCAATGAAAGTGTTGAATGACAACCCTGACAAAGTGTTTTTTTTTGGCGGTTGTCTGGCAAACGTCAATTCTTTTCATGTAAATTGAACGTCAATTAGTTGCATTCTAATAGCCGGGCGCGCCGGCCGCTGCGGCGTCGGCCCGGGGGGGCGGCGGAACGCGCGCGAGGCGGGCCCGCGGGGGGCCAAGCCCGCGCCCGCGGTCGGCGGGGCACAAGCGGTAATCCGCTGCAGCCCGCCCCCCCGGAGGGGGGCTGGAACCAAGCCACCCGCCCGGCCGCCCCCACCCGGCCCCCCGACCCGCCAGGCGCCGCCCCGGACGGCCTATAAATTGAACAAGTTTGAAAGATAAATGACAATCGCCGGTTTAATAGCAAGAGAGATCTTTTTAGAAGGAGCGCAGGATGTTAAGAATGAAGTCAGACCCGTTGCCTACTTCTGACTCTGTGGGCGTCAATGCCTCCTGCTTTTATGGGCTTCTTTGTTGTTCTCGGCAATTTCCTGTTGATTCCTAGTTTCCAGTCCATCCAGATCTGAATGTGGATATGTACACAATTAAAGTTTAGTGCGTGTGGATATGTTATCACTTACTCCACGCCGTTCTTCCTCCGACACGCATGGCGGTCCAGAGGCATTTAGCTCCTTCTTGAGCTCCTTCCAAGCAGCCGCCACTGCCACTCTATCGCCCCGAGTGAAGCCCTTAGCAATGTCCTCATTGTTTCGCATGAATTTAAGAAATATTTCGTCCTGCTCTAGTGTTCTGTGCTTTCCCCTATAATTTATAATCAATTAGAAATCCAAAAACCATAAAATATTACTTACATTTTCGTTTTTAGTTTTATTCGACCCATTTTTCTTTTTGACATTGACGTTAACACACAATAGTACACGATAACACACTTGGCTTTGCCACCTTAACTAATTTATTTTTGTATCTCTAATTTAAAACCATTAAATGCATAATATCATTCGAATTTAGAACTCCAAAAAAAATTCAATTGTCAGAAAGACTAGGTGGCCAGATTTACCTTTGAGTTGGACGTTGACACTGACACACTAATGTTATCAATTGTTTGGAGATTTCTCAACAAGCAATAGTATCGAAGAATTTTTCAGATGTCCAAGAAAGGCTAATCAAGTCTCGGTTCGACTAAAAGTTTGGTCAACAAAAAATCTTTTGCAACGAGTTTTCGGAGTAGGAAGCACTGTGCATGAGTGCGCTTATGTGAGTCTCGTACGCACTACATTTAAACGACCAGGCACATCCTTTTTCGAGTTGCCCTTTCTTTAAGGGGAATTTTCATAAAAAAAAAATTTTGGTTTCCTCCTCGCCGCGTAGGCCTGAAGGTAGTTATTACATCCAGAAAAAAAACAGGTCGAAAAACATTAGGGTCTGTTTTTATTAATATCTCGATCTCGGCGACAGAAAAATAGACACTTTAAAATAGCCGTTATTTTAACAAGAAAATTAATTTTGCAAAGTTATTTTTGCGTTTTAGTCACTGCACTATGGTGCAGAAGCCCGTTTTTTTTTTGTCATAAAGTCTAAAAATATAGAAACAGACTTAAAAATTTGGTTATACCTCAGGGAAAGAAGTATATGTGCACTTTTTAATTTGCTTATATTTTCTATAAACGTAACGTGCTATCACGTGCGGGCAAGCTAAGAAGTGTGATCCAAAAAAGTTATTTAATCAGCAGAATGTAAGTAAACTTGTTTTTATACGTTTGGAGACATAAATGTTTGTTATAATTTTGATTTAACGGCAGAATGCCACGTGGAACACATTTGTCGGAGGAAGATCGCGGTCTTCTGGCAAGAATACTTCTAATATTGCCGCCAGACTAAATCGGCATAGAAACACAATAGCAAACTTTCTCAAAAATCCGGAAATGTATGGAAAAACAAAGCGAAGCGGCAGACCCACTGAAATCGATACGCAGTGCAAGAGGCAAATTCGTCGTCTAACCGTTCAAAACAACAAGTCGTGCATGGAGATCAAAGGTCAACTGAAGCTTGACATATCCAAAAGACGTATAAATCAAATTTTAAACGAAATCGAAATGGTTACATATGCTTCCCGCGACGCTGTACCGAGGTTATTGAAGCGCCACATAACCGCTCGACTAGAATTTGCTGAGAAGTACAAATTTTGGTCAGAGGAGTTCACTAAAGTTATATTTTCGGATGAAAAAAAATTTAACTTGGACGGTCCTGACTCCTGCCAAAAGTATTGGCGCGACAAAAGGCAACCACGGCAGCACTGCCATAAACAAAACCACGGTGGAGGATCATTAATGGTTTGGGGTGGATTTGGGTATGCTGGGAAGTCCCCACTTTGTTTTATACCCATTAGAACAAATGCAGAAATGTATGTAGAGTTGTTGGAAGCAATACTCATTGAATTTGTTGGAAACCTTTACGGGGATGAGTGGATCTTCCAGCAGGACAACGCGCCCATCCACTCGGCACGGAAAACAAAAAACTTTTTGCAAGCTAGGAAGATTCCCTTATTGCAATGGCCAGCGATCAGTCCGGACCTTAACCCAATAGAGGATCTTTGGGGAATATTATCCAACAAAAATTTATAAGAATGGGCGCCAGTTTGATACGGTAAATGACCTCAAAAAAGCATTGCTCCAGGAATGGGATCAAATTAACCCTACAATTCTTAAAAACTTGGCAACCTCAATGCCCACCCGGATAAATCAAATTTTCACTAAAAAGGGAAAGCATATAAACTATTAATAAGCAAAAATAAAAATTTAAAAAAAATTATTTCATTAGTATTTTTAATTTTCATTTAGAATGCACATATACTTATTTCATATGAATGGAAAGTTATTCATTTAATATTTAGTTATTCTTAAAGTTTATGAAAATAATATTGTTATTTTTTTGTTAATATATACCTTTACTATATATATAAAAAAAAGTTTAAGTCATTCTCTTTGTTTTTAATAGTTTTTTTGTAAGTAATATCAATGCACATATACTTCTTTCCCGGAGGTATATGCAATAGATTTCACCAATTACACTACTCGACAAAATCGAACTTTTTTTTCCTCAAGGATCCAAACCGACTTTTTCTGAAAGATATGGGGATTTAAAATTTTTTAAAGAATTATGGTTTTTTTTCTATGGCAGAACTTTTTTTTGAAGAATTTTTGAAGTCTGGTATTTTTTTTTTAAGCTTTTTTTAGAGGAAGCGCTTGTTGTTTTCACATAGCTCTAGTAACTTACGTCTGGTTGTAAAGAAGTTTGCTATTTTGAAAAGATAATAAAAACAGCTAGAAGTTAAGCCCAAATACTTTGTGATTTCAGCTTACCGTATGGGAAATATAAAGCATTAAAATGCAAAAATGATGATTTTTGTGCGGTATTTTTTACGAAATTTTGACTTTAAAAACCCAGGAAAAGTCGAAAAAAAATTATATCCTGTGTCCTCTATTTTTTTGTGTATAGGTGCGTTAATTTGGCGTCGTTTAAGGTATCGCTCATTAAAATCGGGCCAAGCTAAAATTCGTTAACCAAACCTAAAATATGAAAAAAAAAAACAAAAAATACCTTTTTGAAGGCGGCGGGCCCAACTGCCATTGGGAACAAAGCAAACGAACAAGGGTTGTACATTTGGTACCTCAGGTACCTGCAATTGGCAGTTGAGCCCGCCGCCTTCAAAAAGGTATTTTTTTTTTTTTCATATTTTAGGTTTGGTTAACGAATTTTAGCTCCAAAAAATACCGCACAAAAATCATCATTTTTGCATTTCAATGCTTTATATTTCCCAAACGGTAAGCTGAAATCACAAAGTGTTTGGGCTTAACTTCTAGCTGTTTTAATTACCTTTTCAAAATAGTAAAGTTCTTTACAACCAGACGAAAGATACTAGAGCTATGTGCAAAAAACAAGCGCTACCTCTAAAAAAAGCTTAAAAAAAAAATACCAGTTTTCAAAAATTCTTCAAAAAAAAGTTCTGCCATAGAAAAAAAAAAATATCATCAAACCATTTCTTAGCCCCAAATCTTTAAGAAAAAGTTCGTTTTGTTCCTTGAGGAAAAATCGTGTTGACTAGTGTTATCCAACTCATTCGTCAAATTTTTTTTTTTTATTTTCTTAACTACATTTTTTTGTAAAATTCGGTAGCAACCTCTAAAAAAAAAAAATAAATAAAATAAAAACATGTAAATTACTATTGAATCCAAGGTAACAAAACTAGGGGGCGTCCCGTTTGAATTTCGAAAAAAAAAGTTTTTTGGCCCAGCCTACTGGTCAACCAAGCAAAGCATGTGTTGACATTTTTTAAATCGGTACGATGGCATTGGCATTCTTTGAACAACTTTATTTATTAGTATCTTGTTTTGTTAAGAATGTCTGATAACTTAAGATACTTAAGTTATGTGAAAAATAGAAGCACTACATCTGAAAAAAAAAACATTAAAAAAATACCAGATTTTAAAAAATTCTTTAAAAGACGAGAAGGAACGTGCGAGTCGCTTCTGGGGACGCGACTCTACTTATACCCATACTCAGTCAGTATATACACTTTTGAGCATATAATTTTTTAGAATTTTAAAATATACAAAAAAAATTTGCTACATCTGCTATCTACAATGTATATTATACATCTAACATGTAGATTGTACATGTTCCATTTAGATTCTACATCTCCTCCGCTAGGGGTTGCTCGCACACTGAACGTGGCAGACTGTGCGAGCGAGAAAGAGAATCAGTAGCGTGTTTCATGCATGGGGAGACGGGGGAAGCAACTGAAAATGAATTTCTTCATTCTGGCTATAATTATGATCCGATCTGATTCAGATTCGGCAATCTGGTAGATATGGTCATTCTCTACGATACTGCGTTTTAGTTTTATCGTATCTTTAAAAATGTGCCTGCCACAGATTTTCGTACTTTGTGGGGGCGGAAGGGGGCGGGGCGAAATTTTGAAATGTAGCAGTGTGATATAACATGAGTCTGGAAACAAAATTTGGTTGCTCTAGCTTTTTTAGTCTCTGAGATACAGGCGCTCATCAAGACGGACGGACGGACAGACGGACATGGCTATATCGACTCGGCTATTGATGCTGATCAAGAATATATATACTTTATGGGGTCGGAAACGTTTCCTTCTCTGCGTTGCACACATCCACTCTTACCACAGATCTAATATACCCCTTAATATTTTTTTGAGTACGGGTATAAAAACCGACATTAAACTAAAAATTTGAAAAAAAAATTGTATAATATTATTGAATAAGAAAGAGCAGAATTGGGGGGTGTCCCCTTGAAAAAACAAATTTTTTGTTCAAATTTTGGCCCAGCCTAATATACAGATTAATAAAGATGCTGCACAAGAAGATGGTTTTCAAATATGTTATGCAGAGTAACAAATACATGCATATCGGTAAATTTTCTACCGCGACGGAGCCAGAGGCGGTGGCAAAATTTTTTGCCGAACAACTTAAGGTGCCGGTAGCGAAAATTTCTTGTACGAAGCTAGTCAAGCGAGATGCTGATATATCTTCGTTAAAGTTTGTCAACTTCAAACTTGGGGTCCCTGAGGATCTATTTGCTGCTGTCTTTGAGGACAAGTTTTGGCCTGTCTCAGTAAGGGTTTCCCGCTTTGTACATAGACAGAGGCCGGACGCTGACCTGACGGCAGTAGATCTCCGCGCTATCGTACCGTTGCGGACGTCCACGCCCACTCAGGAAGGTCCAGTTCCGTCCACTTCAAAAAACCCCCAATGAGCGGCGCCTGCGCTTTGTGCGGCATTCGCTCGGCTGCTGCTGGATCGGATGTCGATGCTCTTGCTGGCGCTCTCTTTCGACTGCGTGAGTGTTTAGCGTCACCCCCACAACTGTTACATTGCTTCGTGTGCTATGCTTGTGTCGGCGCTGCACTCGACACTTGGGGAGAGTCAGCGGTCCGGCGCTTGCTCTTAAGTGGATCACTCTCTTCAGCACCACCGTCAACACATTCCGGAAGAGTGGGTCTCCCAGCACCGTTCCCGCC